TGGGTTGTTTTGTGGTCTTCAACCTTCGGCCGCCGCGCCAGACGACTGTGATGCCATTTTGGTGGCCGTAGATGAGGATGGTCGCTCCTTGGGGCGATTGCACAGGGTACGTCTTCACGTCGTGTATCCGGCGGTCGAGCGAATATCTGCAAAACATTCAGAGTTAGAAATATGATAAAGAAATCCGATGTGCAGCAGCAAGCATACGTGTGTTGTGTGTTTTGCGGCGTGCGCCGCGTTCTGGGAGTGGGCTGCATGGCCGCAATCGCGGGGACCGAGGAGGGCGGAGGAAACAGTCGCAATTTCAACCCCTCATCAACACAAATGCATCCAGCAAATCCAAGTTGCTATTGAAAATCGGAAGCGGATGCCGCTGCAGGCTCGTCTGGTTCGAAGGGTTGAGGTCGGTTGTACAGATGCAATGGCGGCGTCAACAATTGCCAAGTTGAGCTCCAACTCAAAATTCGCGGGCGTGGTTCCAGGACGTGAACTGGGGAGCTTGGGCCAGAACGGATGTGCGCTAGACCAGATATGGTCAGGCCTCCCATGTGGGGAAGCTCTGGCGGCAGGCAAGCCCGTCCTTCCACTTCCAGGAGACTCTGCAACTTCCAAGGTTCCACCTCGGTCTCAACAGGTTCATTGCTTGTCTCAATTGATGCCAGTTTCAGCCAGTGCATCGTTGTCGACCTGTTCCACGTGCGCACGTGGTTCTTCGAGTTTCCGGACTCTTACGAATAGACCGAGTCTCTTCGTACCACGCATGACGACAGACTACTTGCCATCATCTTGCCATCATCCCCGGAAAAAGCAAAGACGAAATCCACAGATTGGCTCCAGGTCTGCGTGGAGTCTTTCGACGACGGGTTGATTCGTCCTTCCTGGTAAATCATTTGATGTGGAGTCTCGGACAACTGACATTCCCCCATCCTGACAAATTCACCTTTGGGCAAAAACACACTTGACTCTTTCAGACTCCGGTGAACTGGTTGTCCCGTCCCACACGACTAGCAGATAATGGTTGTTCAGCCAAGCACCTACTGCCCGCTTGCCTCTTAAGTTGCACCGTACCGTGTCCGTTTTGTATCGAGAATTAGAAATCCAATCCAATCCAAGAAAGTTATCACCAACACTCACAAACCAATCCTTGACTCACGGGTAGAGTAAATACCTTAATACGAAGAGGGGGCACTCGTTCTGGCAGCTTTCCTTTTCTGCTCACCTCAACCTTTGTTTTTACATCACATTCTCGAGAAGACAGCCACAAGATTCGCCAGGTACGCGGAGCACAGGTGTTTTGGGTGATTTACTCTCATAATCAACGATTAGATCTGCGTCAGCACCTATTCCTCCTACCATGCCTCAAGTTATCACCGACGTTACCCAAACCATCCACGCCCCAATCGGGCAGGTTTGGGGCATTGTCGCCTCGTTCGGTGCCGAGTCCCTGTGGTTCCCCGGTGTCGTCTCCTCGTCGCTCGAAGGATACGGCCCCGGCGCCGTGCGAACCATCCACTTTGAGGAGAATCCCTGGGTGAACCTGGTCCGCGAGCAAATGGTCGTCTGCGACCCGGTCAAACACCTATTGCGGTTTCGAGTCCAGAACGACGACGTGAGCGACGCAGGGGAGATCTATTCCAATATGGTCCTGGAAGATATTGACGGCAAGACGACCAAGTTTAGATGGTTTGCGGAGGGCGAGGTGCTCCCTGATCCGGTTCAGCATGAGAATATGCGGGAATACGTTGAAGCCATGTATCATAGGTGTGCCGATAGCATTGAGCAGAAGCTGACGGCGAAGGCTTAATAATAGTCCTAGACAAAGGAAGTCTACTAATGGAGAGAAAGCGTCATGAAGCAGGATAACGCCGCTCAGACGGGAATGTTGTGCCTGTAGATACCAGAATACATTTGGTCTGAGCGAAGGCTCAGTTGTTTTCGAACTTGGTCTTCGGGGATGCCGGCTGTGGTAGAGACGATTCATGTCTGAGTCTGACACCCCGTAGCGCGAGTTATGCACTAAATGCGATACCCATTGTTGAAGGTGGCAAGCAAGTCAGAACCCTCAGCAACAACCTTCCTACTTAGGGCCGTCTATGAGTCCACCACAGTACATACGACCAGAGATGGTAGAAAACTCGGGATCCCGTCCGCTCTCCCCTAGATAAGCTACCAATCGCCAGACTAGTAGTTGGGTCGGTGACGACCAGCGAATCCCTGGTGTTGTATGTTATTTTGGTCTTTTGCCGCTTTTTTGGTGGAGTTGCAAAGAACCGGGCGAGCCAGGGCTGACACAGAGACTGCGAGCAACACGATTTGCCCAGGAGAGAAGCAACTCCACTCAAGCCGGCTTCAACCAATAGCATGAGAATGGCAAGGCCAGCCGGCAAGGGTGTTGTTGGTCGAGGCCGCCGTTGGTCTAAGCACCAGAAATGTCGCGCCTCGCGAGCAATTCTCGAACTGAAATCTCAAGTCGGCCGAACGCCATGAGAGTTGGCGGGTTGTCTCTCTCGGTCCTCGGGATCCTCACTCCCTCGGCGACAGCAGCCGTATTCAGGGACTGGTACCCGGAGTATGCTTCCATTTTCCAGAGCACTCTCGAGGCACAGTGCTCGACGGAGCACAGCGCCTGGCTCGCTGGCTCGCCGCCCCTTCCCGAGGACTACGCCGCCAATGGCACGACTTCGGCCAGACAAGCCGTGGTGCAATGCATCCTCTCTAACACGTCCGAGTTCATGAAGGCAAACATGGCGTCTGCCGCCGTGTTGCTCGGCATCATGCCCTTTGCGCTCTCCGTCCTCGGATCCAGCAGCGAGGAGAGTGCCCTCTTGTACGTTATCGGCCGCCGGCCCATCCTGACGACCCTCCTCCTCGCTGGCGCCCCCGTCGTCGTCGCGCTCCGGCCCTTTGAGTACAAGGACCCTGTCGGCATCCTTCGGGCGCGCGAGGGCCGCTTCTATAGCTTCAACATGGGTCCCTCCTGGCTTGTTCTTTTACTCGAATATCTTGTCGCCCTCGCCTCTGTCGCCAACGTCGTCCACGTCACGTACGGGCTCGGCGTCGGCGTGACGACCATGATTCTGCCGGACTCGAGCTACTTGCCCGGCGTGTGGGCCGGCTCGGGCATCATCGTGCACATTATCGGCGCGCTGTGTCTCAAGTCCCGGCTGCGGCTGCTCACGCCCAAGAACGAGCCCATCCTCAAGTCGGAGCTGACCCTGTCGACGGACAAGAACATCACGGTCGAGACTGTCCCCGAGACGAAGCGGTTCCTTGCCCTGTCGTGGCTGACGTCGACGTCGACGACGTTTCATGTCATTTTTGGCACGCTTGCGTTTTCCAGCATGCAGTTCATCTCGGTACGGGACGCGTTTGGTGTCATTGGCCGGTATACGGCGTCAGTTACGATCTGCCGGGTGGTGCTGATGTACGAGCTTTCGGGGCTGAGGTCGGGCGTTGAGAGCACCTCGACGCTTCCGGCGCCCGATGACGGCCAGGATCCTGTGGATGGGTTGAAAGCTGGCCCGCGCGTCTTTACGTTTGCGCCCTGAGGAGGGGCATCGTGTGCCATGTGTTGCCAACTGGAGGGAACAATATCACTTGTGAAAGGGTGGCGCCTGGGCGTGTATGAAAGCGGCATAAACTGAAATAATGGACCTTGGGAACTTTGATTCTATCCTGGAATGTCGAGATGACGCGAGTGTCTCCTCTCGCAAATGATGGCGCCTTGATTTGAACTAGGAAAAGCTAATCAAGCTATTCATACACATGTGCTTCAGCCCGCTAAGTTATGACCCCCGACGTTCCGCCATTGTAAAGTCGAAGGTCTCTCTTTCTGTTCTGTTCATTCTCTTTCTTGGATCGTGATAGATGACATCATAGCGACTTTGCTCGTTGTCGTCTTGGGCATATATCACTCGTACCATGCCTGCTTTGTCATTTTGTTTGAACGCTGAACCCTTGAGAATGGGATACTCCAGCCACGGCGCCTTCCCAGGGACACTCAGGTTCAATTCTTCCCGGTTCCAAAACTTGCGGGGATAAGAAATTCCGGTGTCTGATTGCATTGAATTGCAAGCCAAAGTCCTCGCAGTCTGGAGTTGCTCCTCAACGGCAGAGACAGGAATCCTTCTGAAACCATGCTGGTGACGGAGACCGGCGCAGAGATACTAACGACGTATTGTTAGTCAAGTGGTACATGTGGTGGAGAACGGGCGAAACAGACAAAAGGGGCTGGGTGACGTCTTTTGATCTGACGATATCCGTCATTTGGATCTGGTTGCTGTTCATCAGTCCGCTCGCTGTCGCTGGCTGGGGGAGTAGGTGGGGCCGTCTCCATGAGAAAGCTCGATTCTTGAGACAACTAAGACATCACAGCAGTCACCACCCTCCTCGTCCCTTTTATATGTCTCTCATTCTTCACAGAAGCGTCTCTGAGCTTCCTCGCCGGCTCCCCACCGCGGCCCAAGCTCCTTGATTTGGCATGACAATGGCTGGAACTAACATCCGTCTCAAAAGGCTTCAAAATGTGAGAGCTCGCCAACTGCAGTCTTGAATTGTGAGATGTGATATCAAATGTGACAGATGTGCAGTGAATACGGTTGTTGTCAAAACAGGGAGACACGGTCATGTCTTTGTTTGGCTTTGTTGCACGATTCAGGGGGTTGTCGAAGTTTCCAGCTCAACAATGGATGATACAGGACCCGCTGCTCCAAGCAGTTGAACACAATGGAGTCTGCTAGTTGTTTGTCTGTGAAGAAACATTTCAAACAGAGTTGACCTCGAGACGTTGGCAGGCTGCGACAGACGGACCATATCCCGGGTTTCATTTGTTCTTCATCCTGCTATTAATTCGGAGTTGCCCAGAGAAACACCAGCCAGTGTTTGCAAGTCTATTTGTCCCTTTGCTTGCCAGTAAGAAACCCATTGTTGCAGTTCATCGCTTTGACCGAATGCGCTTATGATCTCTGATGGGACCCGCGACTTTCATCCAATCAGGAAACAGCGTCAGTGGTTTAGTGGTAAAATCCATCGTTGCCATCGATGGGCCGCCGGTTCGATTCGCGGCTGACGCAACCTTTTGCCGTCCATTCATTTGAATCATATCAAGGCTGTCTTTTTGATTTTTGGTTGTTGGGGTGCTTCAGAGTCACTATGAACACAATGAGGAAACGCAAGCGGGTGGGCCGCTGTTGTCAGCACACAGGCCATCCGTTCGAAGCATGGTCGTGCTACTCAATGTTTCCATCCAACGATTTCCATCATCTCTTTTAGCTCACTGACATTGGAGACAGCACCATCATCTCCCATCCCTCTCTTCAACCCACCCGCCCCTTCAACGGCACAGCCCCCATGCCTCCCAGAACTCCCTCGTATCATAACACCTCCCCAGCACTTCCATCGCCCTCGGCAACGCCCGCACGCCCTCCTCCCTCATCAGTTCCCCCACCCACCCAGCCTGCTCACTCACCTTCCCCTCCCCCTCATCCGCCAACCCGCCAGCAGCGCCCACCAGTCATACACGAACCGTCCGTCACCATCCACCGCTGCCCTCCCCTTGGCCGCCCACGCCCCATCCCCGCTCTGCACGATCGCGGCGATCGCCCGCGCGATGTCCTCGCCGTGGATCAGGTGCAGGCTCTTCTTGCCCCGCACGGCCTCCTTGGTGGCGGCCACGCGGCCACCCCAGTTGCGCGGCTGGCGGGCGCCGCCCCACAGCCCGGACAGGTTGAGCACGCAGCCCGAGAGGGCGAGCAGTTCGTCCTCGGCGACGGCGCGCGGGTTGGTGGTTGCGTACGGGCTGTGGCGCGTGAGCCACGGGTCCTCGGAGCGGGATTGGCCGGGCGAGGACGACTCCGTCGAGGGCTGCTGCTGCTGCTGCTGCTGCTGCCAGATGCCGCTGCTGCCGAGCTGGATGAAGCGGGGTTCGGAGTCCGGGTTGGGGGAGGAGGCGGCGGCGCTGCGGTGGGTTGCGGTGTAGGTTTCGACGAGGAGCTTGCTGGGGCCGGTGCCGGTGAGGGGGAAGGTGATGAGGATGTAGCGCGCGCGGGGGAGGGCGGCGATGGCGGAGTGGGTTTCCTCGGCCGGGGCGGACGGGTCGAATTTGAAGGGGATGGTGGGGTGGTCAGCGACGGGGTGGCCGGACGTCGTGGTTGCAGCGAAGGGGATGTTGTGGGATTGGAGATGGGGGATGAGGAAGGTCGAGGTCCAGCCTGCGCCGAGGATGAGGAGGGTGAGTTCCTCCATTTTTGCGGGGGTTTGATGGGTTGAGATGGCGGGTTTGGGTGAGAATTATGTTTGTGGGAGAGTTGTTGGTGAGTGATGACGAATTGCTTCGTGAATTTTGTTGAAAGGTGCATGCATGCAGCTTGGCGGCAGTTGCTGGTTCTTTCCATCCGACTCCACAGCTTCAACCATCAACTTCCGAATCAATCATTCTTACAACTGAAACGAAACAAAATCGAGAAGTACCATTGTAAAGACTGCGGATAATACACGCGAGCGCTTAAGGAAGGAAACCGCAATCCGAGACTCCAGGCGTTCCCTCATTACAGCGACAACCCCTCAAAAACACAGATCCGAGGTTCCCAACTTCCCAGCTCCAACCGTCACTAACGCGTCCTCCATGAAGCTCTTGACAAAAGAATTCACTTCTCCCGCAGCAGCGCCAGCAAGACATCCTCCAGATCTCCGCTTAAGTACGCCTTCACCTGTTTACCGATTGCGATCCCAAACCTCTTCTGGTACGCCTTCTTGGCCGCCTCCAAACGCGGCGCGTCCCAGTAGAGAGCCACCACGCGGTTGATGAGCAGCTTCTCCTTCTTCTTGGTCAGCGCCTCCCGCAGCCTCACGGCATCCGCCGTCGCGCGGTCCTGCCCGGCCGCCAGCATGCGCAGCAGCGCGTCCTCCATGTCGCCGCGGAACTCCTTCTCGATGACGTCCTGCAGGGAGCGGTGGTACTTGCGCTGGTACGCGTCGGCCATGGCGTTGATCTGCGCCGCGTTGCTGCTCGCAAAGATCTGCGCGACCGACACGGCGTTGGCACCGATCATGCCCTCGGTCGCCCGCTGCAGCTCCGTGACCTTGGCGTCGATCTCGTGCGGGAGCACCGGCGCCGCGTCCTCGGCCCGCGTGCCCGCCAGCACCATGCTGCACAGCCGGAACAGCGCGTCGTCGACGTCCTCCTTGATGTCGACCGCCAGGTCCTTGCGCACCACGCGCTTGTACTCGGCCACGATGGCGCGGATGTCGGCGTTGGAGCGGTCCAGCAGCACGTCCATGAGCGTCTCCTCGTCCGTGCCCAGCCGGTTGAGCGACTTGTCGAGGTTGTAGACGTCGGCGCCCAGCGGCCCGCGCAGCAGCGCGAGCAGCGCCGTCTCGAGCCCGCTGCGCGTCTCGCTCTTGATGTCCTCCTCGAGGTTGCGGATGAACCGGCTGTTGTAATCGTTCACCAGCTGCTGCATCGCCCACGGGTTGGAGTACTGCGCGCTGGTGAGCACGCGGATCAGCGCCTTCTCGTCGCAGCCCATGCCCTTCATGGCCCGCCGGAGCGCCTCGGCGTCGCTCGACGTGTTGACGGGCTTGGCCCAGGCTTTCTGGGCCGGGTCGTAGCCCGGTGATGCAGGGGTCGGCGGCACGGGCGCACTGCTACCGTATCCGGGTGCGCCGTGCGGAGGTGGCTGCTGCCATTGCTGGCCCTGAGGCTGCAGTCACTATCAGCATCGGCCGACGGGGAGGGAATTTCAAGGGCGTTTGTGCTCTTGGGTACTTACAGGATAACCTTGGGGCGGCGGCTGGCCGTAGTTCGCTTGGGGCTGGCCATACGGAGCTTGTGCGCCGTATTGGCCCGGAGCAGGAGGAGGCTGTTGCCCATACGGCGCATTCTGAGGGGGCTGTTGTCCATATGGGGCATTGGGAGGGGGCTGTTGTCCATATGGGGCATTGGGAGGGGCCTGCTGCCCATATGGGGCATTCGGAGGGGCCTGTTGACCGTATGGGGCATTTTGGGGAGGCTGCTGCCCATATGGGGCGTTTGGGGGGGGTTGCTGCCCATATGGGGCAGTTTGGGGCGGCTGCTGCCCGTACGGTGGGTACGGTTGATTCTGGTATTGCCCTGGCTGGCCGGGTGGGGGCGACTGGTATTGGCCGGGTTGCGCACCAGGAGGCGGCGCCTGATAGCCTTGTTGATACTGCTGGTACGGAGCCTGCCCAGGGGCTTGGTATTGGTATGGTGCACCTGGGTTCGACGACCCCTGAGGGTATCCAGTGGGGGGAGGACCGCCCGGGTACCCCTGCGGGGGCTGTTGGCCGTAGTAAGGCTGCTGCGAACTCATGGTGTTGTGTGGTGTGAAGAATGGGTAAGTACACGAGGTGCTGCGATGGATATGTGCGCGTGTAAGGAACAAGAACAGATTGAAAGTCGATGGAAATGTTACTTTTCAATGCATTTGATGTCCACTGTAACACAGAGGCCTCCATGATGTCTTGTGCCCATTCTGGTGGCGGGGGTGGCTGTGTTACGGGCCTTGTCCCACCTCGAGCCCACTCAACCAGCACTGCCGCCAAGGCAAGATGGTAGGGCAGCCAGGCAGCCTGGATCGGGACCCACATCGGGGTAAAAGGGTAATACGGAGGCACTGCATTTCGCTCTCGGTCTTCAACCAACTGTGGCTCGGTTGCCAGTAAGCCCAATGCCAAGCGGCCCATCCCTGCCTAGATTGGTAGCGTGGAGCTCGCAGCAATGACAGCATCGGACGCCCAGGAGATCTTTTTGGCAGACTGCTGTGTTTGAGGCCAATCTTGGAGACATGTATCTCGCGCTTGGTTTTTGAGTGAGTGTAGAAAAGGACGTCTATCAAAGGGGTCGGGGGAGAAAACATGGCTCACACAGCGCCCGTTTTTCCTTACATTGGTATTCGACATCTGAGCTGGTGGAAGTCCAAGTTGAAAGACATTAAATTTTCCGTGAAAGTCTCTAGTCATTTAAGTAGAGACAGTCCTTAATGGGCCCTAAGATGCTCTTGATGGAGTTTGAGATACTACAGAGGAAGTTTTATGCTTTTTGGAACGAGAATTCGGACCTGATACAAAAGACACTGATGAGTTGACTAGATCCTTAGCAGTCTGGAGACTCCTCGCGGCCACACCTCTCCGACACGTCGTCGTCCTGTTCAAGAATGAACTCATACCACATCGGTTCTGTGCGCTCAGATAGACGTGAATCTTGGGAGGCAAGGGAGGCAGCCGGGCTTCCTTGCCAACTCCGCACTTCAGTAAGCACCAGTCCCGCGAAGGATTCTCGCTAGCCTGCCGGAACCCCTGGGCGAGGACCCTGCACTCCCAGTCGGCACACTCGGCAGTGTGGTTTAGCTTAACTCTGGGCACTAAGCTCACCATCTGATAACCTGCCCAGATTTTCCGTCCATTCGGTAGTGATGTCATGTGTTTTCAGCCCTGTCGGCACCATTCGGACGTTCCCAAGATGGCAAGGGGGCGAACCGGGTACCTGGACGCTCGCATCAATATTGCTTTCTCTAAGTCCGAGTTTGCCCCACAGCGTCCCATCTCTCTGGTTGTCCTGCAGAGCTCCTGCAGAGCTTCCTGCTAGGAACCACTAGTCCCGCTAGCGTACCATCGTTTGGTTTCCATGGCAAAGCTCCGGAGGTTTTGCGGAAGTTCACGAAATTGCAGGCCAGGAAGACGACATGCAACACCATAAGAGCTCATCGCTCGCCTCACAATCAGCGATGGCCTCGCTCACATCACTCTCAAACCAGCCTTCACAATGAGACCTGCCCTCTACCTCACCACCCTTGTCGCCGCGGCCTGTGGTGCCCACGCCACAGGTGGTGGCACCACCAACCCGCCCATCCGCAACATCTACACCTTTCCCAAGAACACCTTCATCGAGAACATCGCCGTCCGCTCCAACAGCAAGCTGCTGGTCACCTCCATGAGCGTCCCCGACCTCTTCTCCATCGACCCCACCGTCGCCAACCCCACCGCCCCGATCGTCCACACCTTCGCCAACGCCAGCGGCATCTCGGGCATCACCGAGGTCACCCCGGACGTCTTCG